TTGAGTATGATTTGATCATATTGTAAGGAAATTGTAATACACTATGATGGATGGATGGATGGATGGATGGATGGATGGATGGATGGATGGATGGATTGATGGATGGATGGATGGATGGATGGATGGATGGATGGATTGATGGATGGATGGATGGATGGATGTATGGATGGATGGATGGATTGATGGATTGATGGATGGATGGTCGGATGGATGGATGGATGGTCGGATGGATGGATGGATGGATGGATGGATGGATGGATGGTCGGATGGATGGATGGATGGATGGATGGATGGATTGATGGATGGATAGATGGATGAATGGATGGATGAATTTATTAACACAACCCATTTGATAATTATTTTCAATAATTTTTATAATTTGATTTATTAATTTCAACTGAGATTTTTTAATTTTTTTTTTAAGATTTTGTTTTTCAATTTTCAAGATTTAATTTGAGATAACTCGAAGCGCGCCAAAAAAATACTAAAAAAAAATAGATATATGATACTAAATGATCACTGATATCATCAGCCATATCATTGCAGCGGCCAACCTCTTGCTCCAGCACTTCCGCTTGTATCCTAGCATCCATGTAAACTCTCACGTCTTCCTCATTCTCCCTCAGCCGCATCAACCTCCTCTTCCTCCCCATCCTGCCACTCCCACCATCACCCAGGGACAACGCCCCATCATCGTCTTCTTCATCTTCCTCTTCCAATGAACGGCTTTTGACGAGCATCAAAGACGATGATGATGATGATTTTAACGATGATGATGACAATGAGTGTGATGATATGGTATTAGGGTGGTTTGGGTTGTTGCCCCTGTTTGATTGGTGGTTCCTCTCAATTAGTTTCACTTTTAGTTTGTCCATGTCACGGGCCATGGTGCGGATAGATTCCTCAGTGGCGGGGTGCTTGTAGTCTGCATGAGTGAATAATTGGTTGATTGGTTGTTTGGTTGGTTGGTTGATTGATTCGTTGGTTGGTTGGTTGGTTGATTGATTGATTCGTTGGTGGGTTGGTTGGTTGGTTGGTTGTTTGGTTGGTTGGTTGGTTGGTGGTTTGGATGGTTGGTTGGTTTGTTGATTAATTGATTGATTGATTGATTGATTGATTGATTGATTGATTGATTGATTGATTGATTGATTGATTGATTGATTGATTGATTGATTGATTGATTGATTGATTGATTGATTGATTGATTGATTGATTGATTGATTGATTGATTGATTGATTGATTGATTGATTGATTGATTGATTGATTGATTGATTGATTGATTGATTGATTGATTGATTGATTGATTGATTGATTGATTGATTGATTGATTGAGGTTAGTTTAATTTATCTAACCTTATTTACACGCATAATTACCTCTTCATCATCTGCATTCATTTGCATTGAAACACGTCTGAATGGCCATCACCATCGACAACAACAACATCAACAACAACAACATCAACAACATCAACAACAACAACATCAACAACATCAACAACATCGAAAAATCCTCACCATGTCCTGACCCAAACCCTGTGAACGAGGTGATCTTTGACCTCATCTGTTTGACCTCCTTCAAGAGGATCTCGTAACTGAGGTCCATGTCTTCCAGGCGGCGTCTCAAAACTCGAGACTGTTTGATTGTGGTGGTGTTGGTGGGGTGAGGTGGTGGTGGTATGATGTGGAGGTATGGTGTGAGGGTGGTATGGTGTAGTGTGGTGGTAATTATGATATGGAGAATAATGTACAAATGATATATTTTGAAAAAATTGTGGAAAATTACAATGACAAACCACGACTCGCCACACCAAACCACATCATATCTCATCTCACCTCACCACAACATGCTTCACCCCGCCACATCATACCACACCACTCACTTCCGACTCAGCCAGCTCAACTTGCAGCTTCATTTGTTGCTTCTCCGCTTCGGCAGCCATTCCTCCATCCTCGCCACCACCACGAAACAAGACCACGCCTCCTTTCGATGACGTCATCCTGTTCAGTTGATGATTGACACTTTCTAGCTCCTCCTCCATTTCTGCCATCTTCTTCCTCATGACGATTATTTCTTCTTCCCCGAATTTCAGCTGTTCCTTCATGTCGTTTTCACGCTCGAGGCTGTCGTTGAGGTCCCTGATGAGCAGCTGGACTTCGAGGTGGCTGGTGGTCGGCGAAGGTGGTGGTGGCTGTTGTGGTGAGGTGAGGAGTGGGTGGGTGGGTGCATTCGTTGGGGTTGTTATGACCAGAGGAGGTAGGGAGGTTGGAGTCTTGGATGTCTGCTGTTTGGTAGAGTGGTGGATCATCATCTTCATATGTTATCATCATCATAATCATCATCCTCATCATGTATTTTACCATCTTCATCGTCATTATCATCATCATCACGTAAGTTGACCTGACCTGATTTGAAAAATTTTCGAGTTGACCTTTGAGGTTAATTTTCTCGAGTTCTGATTGGTCGAGAAGTGACCTCAACCTCTCCATCTCTCTCTCGTAATCCCCTCTCTTCTCCTCCATCTCTTCAATCTGATCGTGCAGTCGAACCTGGTACAATGATGTCGGGTGACATTTCAAGATGGTGAAGAGGGTGACGATGATTGTGATGATGATGATGACGACGACGATGAGGATGATGATGATGATGATGAATAAGTGAGTGATGATGATTTTGTTGTTGATGATGATGATGATGATGATGAGGTAGAAAAGAAGGTAGTGATGATGATACTAATGTTGATGACGTCATTAATGATGCTGCCATTGACGAGGATGATAATTATGAGAGTTGTAATTGTTGTTGATGGTGACGCCGACAACAATTTCAAAGATAAGGATGATGATGATGAAGATGATGACGATGATGATGAAGAAGATGATGATGATGATGACGATGATGATCATGATGATGATGATCGTGATAGATTTATAGCATCAGCAGTAGACCATTAAAAACTAAGAAGTTTATTTAAGATGGTAATAATAATGATGACGACGACGATGATAATAACAAAGATGATAATGATGACAATGATGATAATCATGATGATGATGGTGATGACGATGATGATGATGGCGATGATGATGACGATGATG